TCATTCTTGTAGACTTGCTGGTTCATGGACAAGAGAATAACTCACAAATTTAGGTTACAGATAGACTGAGAGGCACTGTTTGTAGTGAAAGAACAAACTACAAAGCTACATTTTGATTAGATCCAAAACCAAATAAGAATTCCAAAGCTCAAAGTAAAAAACAGAGGGGGAAATCTACAGAAATAGAAAAATCAGGTTCTCAGATATCAGCCAAGTTAGCAAAGGTAGGACCTCCTATTTTGTCTCAAAAGGGAAAACAACAGCTAATATATAGGGGGATTGACTAGGAAGGGAGTTTTCTGTGGCATAGAAGAGCTTAGGGATCCTGAGATGCACAGGGAATTTGGGACTTGGGTTTAGTCTTGCTTCATTGCAGAGACTGAGGGATCAGGAAAGAGAAAGAGGGAGGTATAATTCTCTTGAAGGTCAATGACAAAATTAATGGAATGAGGGTCTTGTGGCGTTTTCTGGTGAGTCTTCCACACGTGCTTCCTCTATAGGGACTGTCTACAAGATGAGTTCAGTTTAATTTTCAAAAGAGAAAGTAAGATCTCTGATAGTGGACGCAGGAACAAATCTGAGTAGACTCACGCAATCTGTGAGTTAGCAACAAGCACGAAAATCAGCCAGATCCTGGTACCCAAAGTAAAGCCATTTTGGAAAATCTTGCATGACTTCCTGTGTGTTACGTTGAAGCCAATTTATCAAGTCATAGAGCAGGTGAGGGCCCAGCAATTCTAATCCCAGCAATACTGGAAGATGCAATTTAAACTTGCCCAGTTCTGGGGACCTCTGCGCTTCATGGTGTAGATCTTCTACAGCAAGGCCACTCAGTCAGCCATCTGTCTTCCCTGCTGAGGACTGGCTTGCCTCAGTCCCTTTGTTCTCTCTCCAGGAAGTATTTGGGAATGAGGCATTATTTTATAATATCTAGGAGGCAGCTGTGTCCACCCTTACCTCCAGGAATGTTTTAAACACAATGCTAAAAAATTATATAATTAGGTGGTCATAAAAGAGTTTGAAATGTATACTCAAACATTAAATGCTGCGTTTAATGTAGACATTTGATATCTTTTGGATGTCTGTTCAGAGTTATGAATTTCTTCAAAATCAGGTACGAATTAGGGTATACTACTCATGAGTTTGCAGAGAACAAATCAGGAATAGAGCTGCTGTTTGAAGAGGATGAATGTGTGAGTGCTCAAGTCACCCAGATGTTTATAAACAGATGATGCCTGGTGATGTGTTTGGATGGTAGGCATGAAGAGGTAACATGTGAGGTTCAGAGGGAAGTGGGAGAAAATGGTTTTCACAGACCCATGATGCATCATATTGGTTGGCCTCTGACACAAACAGGATAACGAATTAGTCTTTCAAAAGACATTGAGAATGAAGCTAGAAGTCTGAAGCCCATTATCTGTCTTTCCCAGTGTCCCAATATCAACAATACTGGTACATCTAGTCCAGCAGGTGACCATTTTAATGCCAATAATTATATCAGGTATGTGCCTACCACAATCTTATTTTGCCACCAGAAACATAGTTGCATATATAAATATCAGATAAGTATAGATATAGATGCAGATATAAATATAGATCAAAAATGCACTTTATACAAGCTGAAGTTTAGCAATTTTGAATTTGCAACCTTAGAGTTTGCAGAAATTAAACACTAGGTGGCAGCCAGTTACTTTCACATTGGACACGTGGATTCAATTTTTGATTTTTTTTCCTTATATGGGAAATTTAAGTGTATCTATCCTTAATTAATGTTCAGTCACCAACTCTTCTAATAAAATGAACTTGGGGCTGGGCTGCTCAAGGTTCACTTACCGTATTGACTTCTTATATAACTTCATTTTATTTGTGGTCCTCAGATAGAACCAAGGACTTTGCTCACGCTCCACACTGAGCCACACTCCCTGTCCCTCAAATGCAGCTTTCAAAAATAAATTCATCATGCAGCTCCTGAGACTTTTGTTCTCCTGGTCTCCACAGAACTGTTAAGTAATTAATGAGTAAATGAACCTTAGCTTGGCTCCAAAAACATGGCAATCTCTATGCCCATTCTTGACTATCACAACCTTGCCTAAGATTTCAAACTCTGAATGCAAATTCTGAGAGAGAAAGTGCATCCATTGCCTTTCACATTTTTTGCTTTATTTTATTTCATTTCATTTCATTGTTATTATTTTACTTTATTGTTTTATTTAATTTACTGAACATCAAAGTGAATCTTTATTTTAAGAAGGCCTGGGCTACAACACACATGAAGTATCCTTCCTAGACTAAAACTTGGCAAGTGCTATTTATAAAGCTGTGGCCCTGCTTCAGTGAGGGCAAAGATGGAACCAAGGAATCTTCTGGAAGTCCTGTTGTGAATGTTTGTCACCCAAAAAGGGGCTTAGATCCATTCATTTTTGATTTTAGGCACTCCAGGGTGGCCTTGCCTTCTCACAAATATAACAGTATCTTCTAAAATGATTGGAGTGGGGGCTGGAGGTGCCACCATGCTGCCTGACTGGATGTACTCATGTTGGAGTGGAGAATTCTGATAGCCCAGGGAGGACACTGAAGCAAACTATCCCAGTTCATTAGGGTGCAAAGGGGATACAAAGGGAAGTGAAGGGGAGCGGTAGACAGCCCTGAGAGACCGCTGATGCTCAGTCTTGACATCTATTCTCTGTCCTACATCCAGGGTTATATTGTGTACCTCAGAAGTGGTCAAATTTCCTTATTGATCCTTATTGTGTGAGAGCTCTCTTCAGCCATTTTGTTTTTGTTATTCACAGATGACCATGGTATGGCTTTGAAAACATAGGGAATCGACTGCAACACAAAATCCTTTGTACTTTAGAGGAATTCATGAAAATTTCTGGAAATTACATTTCTGTTTAACTTTTATGATCCTAATCATTGAGCTGGGTAAATATTTCCAGGGTACAATGGAAAATTAGATTCCTAAAGAATTCCTTCATGGAGTAGAACCAGAATTGACTCCATGTAAGACACCTGATAAAGGATTAAGAATTTTGGGTATGAACTTTCATTTAAAAGGATTGCTGATTTTTTTTTGTTTGGTTTGTAAGATTTAAGAAAAATATTTTCTTCTGGGCTATTTACACTTGATAGCAATTCAAGAGATCTGTGACTATAGCTTCCTTGAGGTGAGCAGTAAAAACCTGGCCTTAAGACTCTCTTTCCCCTCAGAGGACCAAGACCCCTTCTTCACTCCCTCTGATCTCTAAAGCGCCATACCTGGGAGTCTAGTGAGAGGCTGCAGCAATCACATCCTTGTTGTTGCAGGCAAAGAGGAGCAGGCAGAAGCAAGTGGGGCTGGCAGAAGGGAGACAGACATCCCCTGCTACGGGCAGGGTGGGTGGTATAACTTCCTCTTCATCCCGGTGGTGATGACTATAGTACTCTGTTGGCTGAAGAGTCCCTCAAGATGGGTCTATGCTCCTCTACCATGCAGAAGATGCTCTATATCACATGAAATCAATATGTCACAGAGAATCAATACCAAATTCTAATCCACACATGGAACAGGGCAAGAGCCCTGAAGGTGACAGACACACTTCTTCCTCATGAAGAAGGAAACAGAGCAAGCTAGGAGGACTTCTCCGAGGTCTAGATGGAGCTGGGCCTTGAAAGCTGGCCTGGACTGAGGTAACTGAGCACCACTCAACCAGAGTGGAAACCAGTATGGAGGGTTAAGGGCCCAGTTACTTGGGTTACTTAGCAGTTCACACTTAGTAGTCCTCCCTCTCCCTCTTGCAGGCTAGCTGACCCCTCCTTAATGTTGCCTCCTTTCCATATTGAGCACGTGACTTGTGTATGTCACCTGATGGGAGAGGGTTGGGGAGCACTGTTGATAGAACAAGGAGCAGTCACATTCTCCACAACTTCAAAGCCTTGGTCCTCTTGGGCAGCAGTCTCTGTGTGCACTTATGATCCACAGCACATCCCTAGTCTGTTTCCCTGGTGACCACTGGTGCCTCAACATAACCCACTGTTGGCAACTCTGCTGATGGATGAGGGGTGGTGCTGGGGGAATGTGCTTGCTTATCGCCTGAAGCTGCTCCATCCATTTCTACTCTAGGAGATATTCATGTAGGGAACCTGCCATCCTCCAGTGTCCTGTGGAGAACCTTTCAAAGTGCTAAAGGGAAACCACAAGGTGAAGCTGGCCATGCTCACACAAGACTTGTGAGCACACTGTCCTTTGGCCACTAGCATACTAGTCCCTGTAGGGTATGTGTTCCCACCAGACTGAGAGCCAACCTTGTGTTCCCATAGTAGCCCCAGCTCCTGGAGTGAGTGGTGAGTGACACCCTCCCTATAAGATGGGGAGTAGGCAGCAGGTCATTTGGGAGCCATGCTTAAGCTTCCTACCCCCAAGATAAGACTAGGGGAGCCACTCTCTACCCTCACTGAGGCTCACCTTTAGCAGCTCATGGAAGACCTGGGTGCCATCCTTATCTTGATACTCACCCTTTTGTGTGCTTGTCTTGATTCTGGTCCCCATATGGCTGCTCTATTTCTGCTAAAGTTAGTTGTCTTAACTTTGGGAGTGGGACAGACCCTTTGGGGTACAGCCTGAGAATAGCTATGGAGGTGGAGGATGGGAGCACAGTGCTGATCATCCCTGCTTTTACCTGGCAGGAGAACCAGACCCTTCAGTGTCCTTTGAGAAGTACTCTACAAGTAGCCAGAACACACTTAGCTCTTATGACTTCTGCTCCTGGCTCTGCCCAGGAGTGGAGACCTTCAAAGTAAAAGGCCACCAGCCCTGGAGCCTGAGCCCCAACTAACGTGAGATCAAACCCCAGCCTATCCTGCTGATGCTGATATGTATTCAATGGGGAACAAGACTCAGTTTGGATGAACAGATGTGCAGGTACACTTTCATATCCTAGTTGGTGGGTTGCAGCCCCCAGGGTTGCAGAAATCCCCTGGAGTGCTGCATCACCTCCTGACCAGTGCCAGCAGTGCCAAGAAGAAGCCTTTGTCCTAGATGGAACCAAGTGTGGTTTCTAAAATAGACCTCAGTCCCTCCACTGGCCAAAGCTCAGAAAAGTTTCCATGAGTCAAACCTTCCAGAGAGCTACCTTGTACCTGGAGGTGAGGTCACAGCTCCACCACATCCAGGCCTCCTTTTTTACCGCTCTACCTCTCGGAGACTGATATTATGAGCACCTGGAGGTAGGACCCTTTAGCTTTTATTTGACGTGTATTCCAAAATCATTGTATGTAAGTAGATGCTGTGTATCAGATACATATACATATTATACATACATCTGTAAAAATATCAGCATGGAAGAATAAAAGACTAGTACAGCTAAGACACAGGAGTCTGGTGTTATAGGAGGTTAGGAGCTGCCTTGGGATGGGGGTGCCTCATAGGCAACTTGCTGTAAGATAAATGCAAAGCCAGAGGGGCATTGTGTTGGTTTGTTTGTGTGTTTGTTTGTTTTTCCTGGCACCATAATTTTGTTTCAAAAAACTGTACCTGGCCCTGTGTATTTAAGAACTATTTATTGATTCCATTTTGTCCCCACAATCAAAGCATTTACCCAGATATATGGCACTGTATTTTAAATTTTATCTTAATGACTGAGTTTTGGAAACATTGCTGAAAGTGTTCATATAGCCACAGGGCCTTCAAGGTCTTTAGTAGCTTTAGACAATTCCAGTCACAACATTTTTATTCCTTTCCAGCCATCTTTTGCAGAGAAAATTTATTTATTCAGGATTTTCTTTCTTCTTTGCGACAGAAAAGTAGAAGAGAGCACTTCAGAGGAAGGAACCAGATATACGATCTAGCACCAAAAATTAAGACTTCAGGACCCACACAAACATACCCAGAAGCGTATTTTGCTAGGCATGTCTAGGCATGTCTTAGCCCAGTCAACCTAATCTTAATTTACACTCACAATCATATTGCCCATATGCAGTTGTAAAACATTCTATTATCCATTTTGGATCTTATTACTCTTTCAGGTTTTATTATTTTCTATTCTAGAGAAACAATGTGATACTTACAAATATGAGTCTGATTTATTTCAATTATGAGGATAGTCTCTAGTTGCCTCCATTTACCTATAAAAGCCTCAAGATCATCCTTATTATAGCTGAGTAATATTCCTTGATATAAAAACACCACATCCTTTTCATACACTCTGCAGTTGTCAGGCATTTTGGTTGTTTCCAAGATTTAGCTATTGAAAATTGTGCTGCTATAAATATGGGTGCACATATATCACTGTGACACGACCTTTTAAATTTTTCTGAATTGAATAGCTGGATTTCAATAGCTAGATTGAATGCAAGTTTCAATCCTAGTTTTTTGAGGAATCTCCATACTGATTTCCACAGTGGCTGCACCAGTATACACGCCCATAAATAGTGGAAAGTGCTTCTTTTTCTCCATAGCCTCACCAACACTTGTTATCTGTGGGTTTCTTGATGGCAGCCATTCTTTCTAGAGTGAGATGAAATCCCAATGCTGTTTTAATTTGCATTTCTCAAATGACCAGTGATGGTATACATTTCTTCATATCCAAAATGCATAATAAATATTGTAATAATGAAAGATAAGGAAACAGCTCTAAAGTATATAATTGTATGTATGTTTAAATTTGTAAGATAGATAACCTTACTACTACATTTTTGTTAGTTTGTCAAACAGAATATCTTGTACTGTCATTGTTTGATTGTCTGTCTACTCTTTATGTTTTGATTTTGTAACTTGTACAACTACTTCTAAGATAACATATGATTTATCAACTAGTGATTTCTTAGTGTTATTGTTTTTTGAAATTTTGTATTATTTCTACCCTTTTTGTTTTATTTTTCTCTAAATAAAAAAAGAAATTCTAGAAAAGCTTGGAAAATGACATGATCAAATGTTTCCCATGCTTTAATTCACTCAAGGTGCATAGTGAGGAAAAAAGAATGTCTTTACAGGAAGTTCCAAATGGCAGAGCCGATGCAGGTTCTATGCTTCCCCACTTGGCATAAAATGCAATAGGGCTAGTTTTCAGGGCTGTCTCTTCTAAATCATGCTGGAACTTGTGTTGAAGGAAAGTTTTATTTCAGGGAAACAGAATAACATTTACAGCCTCTCCAAAGCCTGAAATCTAGACAGTTGACAAATAGTTATTCAGTGAAATGGAGAGGAATACAACATAGCCATGCACAAATCTCAGTACAAAACAGGATTATAAAACAAGGCAACATGGCTTTACCAAAGGTAACTAACTCACCAGTAACAACACAAAGATTCAAATGGATAAAAAGGTGGACAAGGAATTCAGGAATGATTTTTACATGACCAGTAAGGTTAAAAAGTATTTTAATAAACAGTTGAATTAATTAGGGAAGCTTTTGCAGGATATGAATCAACAATACAAAATAAAAGATAAAGATTCTGAAGAAGAGCCAAATAAAAATCTTGGAAATGAAAAGACTTACCAGTCAAATAAAAATCTGAAGCAGGGGATAGAATTTCTGGGCTCAAGAATAAAGTTGATGAATTATCACATGCAGACACTAGTAAATAAAAAATAACAAGCTACTAACAAAGCATCCAAAAAATCTGGGATATGTTCAAAAGACTATGATGAAGATAGTGTTGAAATTCACACTAACTTCACTGAATAGAAAATACATTTCAGGGCTGGAGATTCAGCTCAATAGCTAAGTACCTGCCTGGCAAGTGTGAGGTTGTGAGTTTAACCCCCAGTAAGAAAGAAAGAAAGAAAGAAAGAAAGAAAGAAAGAAAGAAAGAAAGAAAGAAAGAAAGAAAGAAAGAAAGAAAAGAAAGAAAAATATATTTCAATGAAATAATAGAAAATTCCAAAATTGTGGAGAATATGTAGCTATCCATATATAATACACATTTAGAACCATTAAGAAGCATGACCATAAAATTATTTCCCTAAGGCATATTATTGTTAAAATTCCAAGCATACGAATAAGGTAAACAATATTGAAAGGTGAGAAAAAGAAATTCCCAAGTCACATATAGGGACAGACCCGTAAGAATAACTGAAGACCTATCTGTAGAAAATCTAAAAGTTAGAAGATCACAAAATGATATATTTCAAGCTCTGAAAGAAAATATCAATTAATATAGGTTATTAAATGCAGGAAATTTACCTTTCAAATTGAAGAAAAAATAGAAAATTTCCACAAGAACTGTAAACAAAGAAATTAATGACCACTGAAACATCATTAAAGAATAAACTTAAAGGAATCCTACACACAAAAGTGGAAAATACATCAGTTATTGAGAAAGAAGAGAATCAAACACTATAACTACATAATGAAATAACTAGGATTTTCTATAATAACTCTGAATGTAAATGATCTTATTTTTCCATTTAAAAGAAGTGGACATGCAGGTTGGCTTAAAAATAAGACTCAACTCTTCTTACTTTCGAGAAACATACCTTACTAAGAAAGATACACTAAGTAAAAACAAAGTTTTATGAAAATTGATCTGAAAATAAGCAGGAGTAGCTTTACTCATATGAAACAAAGTAGGATATAAGGCAAAATTAATTACAAGAGAAAAAGGAAACCAGTTTATATTGGCAAACATAACAATGCACCCAAAAGAGATATAACAATAGAAACATATACATACTGTGTATTAATGTATCCAATTTAATAAAGCAAATAGTAGGTGCAAAAGAACTCATGGTATCTGATACAATAATACTGAGTTACTATAAAATTCAACTCTTGCCCATGGACAGGTCAATCAGACAAACAATTCTAGCAAAGAATCATGAGATGAACTATACCTTAGACTTAACAGACATTTAAGGAAAGTTTTAGTCAACAACTAGAGAAAGCAGTTTTTATAAGGACATGAGTTGTTCCCCCAGAAGACACCGTATTTGATTGTATAAAGAAACTGTTAACAAATCTAAAAAGTTAAAATTATGTCATATCATTTCATAATGGAATGGAACTGTAAATAAACAGCAAGAGAAACTATAGGAACTGCCCAAATACATGGAGATTGAGCAATCAGTTGGTCGTTGAAGAAATCAATAGAAAAATTTTAAAATGCCTGAGATTAAATGAAAATAACAATACAACCAAAAAGAATCTCTAGGATACGAATATAATTCTAAAAGGGAATTTTGTATAGCTATCAGTGCCTATATCAAACAGTCAGAAAGATATGAAATAACCTAATTATGGATCCCATTGTCTTGGAAAGAAACAACCAAAATCAAACCTAACAGAAGGAAAGAATTAGTAAAGAAATGCATAAAATTGATGTAATGGAGATAAAGTGAACAATATAAACAAAAAAGGAGACAAATTCGGTTCTTTGAAAAGATAAATGATATTGAAAACCCTTTATTCAAACTATCCAATTAAATGAGAAGACCCAAATCAATACAGTGAATTAAGAAACACAGGGATTTAAAAATAAACAGCACTGAAAATCAGAGGATCAATAGGGACAATTTTGAAAATTATATGAAAAATCTAGAAGAATGTGCAAATTTCCACATCTATACAATCTACCAAAATTAAAATAAGAAGACATAAAATACTTAAATGGGTCAATAACAAGTAAGGAAATTGAAGAAGTAATAAAAAGCATCATCAATAAAGAAGCTTAGGAGAGCCAGGGATATGGTTTAGCTGGCAAGTGCAAGGTACTGAATTCAGTACTAGGTACCAAAAAAAAAAAAAAAAAAAAAAGAAAGAAAGAAAGAAAATGAAGCTTAGGACCAGGGAAGCAAATTCAGTACTGAATTTTATCACACCTTTTAAGGACTCACCACTTCCAAACTCATCCTATAAGACCGATATCACCAAAACCAGACAAAGACAACAAAAATAATCCTGGTAATTAAATGTAGATATTAAAAAAAACCCTAAATTAACTTCTTGTAGACAGAGTTTAACAATGCATTAAAAAGATATATTCGGTTTATTTTAAGAGATTCAAGAATAGTTCAACATACATGAATCAACAAATGTTATGAATAAAATAAAGAGAATCAAGAATAAAAATCACCTGATTATCTTATTTGACACAGAAAAATCCTTCAGTAATATTCAACATCCCTTCACAGAAAAATCCCTGAACAAATTAGATCTTGAGGTAACATACCATAATATAATAAAGGTTATACCAGAAAAATCTACAGCATTCATCAAATTATGTCATA